TTTTTCGACCTTTAAATTATAATTCCTGTCTCTTATACACATCTAGATGTGTATAAGAGACAGGTCCATTATTAGGTCATATAATATTGTATTAACTTGAATAATGTACTTCTTTTGACTTTTTAGGCTGCCGTAATATAAAGGCCACCATGAACTCGTCATAGATAGAAAAAAAAATTATATAGCTGAAATATGTATGTATGTATGTATATGTATATATGTGATGTATATGTATGTATATATATATATTAGTATAGGTCTATTTTTTCCTACGTCCACTGGTCTAATTCTGTATTAACACTCTGAAAATAGTTACTAAGATTTCATACATATATATGTGTATATATAGGCCTATGTGTATATATGTATATATATGTATATATATAATATAGGTCTATTTTTCCTACGTCCACTGTTCTAATTCTGTAATAACACTCTGAAAATATTTACTAAGATTTCATAGCTGAAATATGTATGTATGTATATGTATATATATATGTGATGTATATGTATGTATATATATATATATATATGTGTGTATATATGTGTATATATAGGCCTATGTGTAAATATGTATATATATGTATATATATATATATATATATAGTATAGGTCTATTTTTTCCTACGTCCACTGTTCTAATACTGTATTAACACTCCAAAAATATTTACTAAGATTTCATACAATATTTTGACCTTAAACGTAACTGAATGAACTTAAATGACCTATTTATAACCATAATCATTTGACAATGTCAACACTTCTAATGGCATTACCGTACAACCTCGAATTGAAGCCCAGTGGGCTTAATCTTGAGATGACGCCCATCTCAAATTGAAGCCCCCCCCCCCATTTTAGTTTGCAAAATTAGCCTCGAAAAGAAGCCCATCTTAAAAAGAAGCCCATGGGCTTTTCAAGATAGCATAGGCTTCTGTTCGAGATATTACATTCACATACACTGTACATCAATTTCAGAAAACAAAATAAATATACAGGCTTGGTTTGTACAGTAGTTTGTGATTTAATGCCAGTTAAATACAGTGGCCTTAATTATTGTTTTATAGTACAAATTCACAAAGTTTACAGCATTCATTTTGAAAGGAAGCCCCCCCCCCCATCTCTTTACTTTGCAAAAGTAATCCCGAAAAGTAGCCCATCACGAAAAGAAGCCCATCCAAAGTTCGCAAAGAAAAGAAGAAGCCCATCCAAAGTTCGCAAAGAAAAGAAGAAGCCCAGGGCTTCAATTTGAGGTTTTACGGTATTTGACTATATACAGTAAACATATTTATAAGAATGAAAAATGTAAATATGTGTTTTACATGGTGGTCATCTTGAAATTCAATATGGCTACTAATAACCTTGACTAATATGAAATCAAATGACCTTAAATGGTCATAATGTCCTCTGATAAAATAGTTCCTATCAGAAATTGAATTCTGCGAGCTTAAAATATGATTTTGCTGTAAAACACGACCACTAGCGAATTATTAAGATATCCTACAGTATTTAACATAAAATGACACTTATTGACCTTAACTGACCTACTTATTACCTTAATGACCATCTGATTATGTCACAAATGATATAAATTCTTGGCCATGGAAATATAATTTTAGACATCAGAATTCTAAGTAGTTGAAGTTGTTTAAAAGCTGATATATTGATAAATAGAGGTTTTGCATTTCAGCCATTTTAAAAACCAAGATGGCCGCCAGAATGACATCATATGAAATACTGCATTCCTAGTTAAAAATGAATTCTGAGAGCCTGGGTATGATTCTATTCTAAAACATGACAGTTACGTTATTTTTAAGATACCATACAACATTTGACCTGAAATGACCATGGATGACCTTAAATGACCTATTTGTGACAATCTAACTTGGTAAAAAATAGTATGATAGTATTGCTTTACCATATAAACATATTTTTCGACCTTTAAATTATAATTCCAAGTGGTTTAGAAGTGGAGATATAGATAAACATAGGTTTTATAAGGCGGCTATTTTGAAATCCAAGATGGCCGCCATAATGACCTCGGAGAAAGTGGTTCCTACCAAAAATACCAAAAATTGTATGTTATGACCTTAAGAAGCATGTACAAAAAAAAATAAAAAAATAATGGTGCTTTTGTAACGACCACATTCAGTCAAAATATGGTCCTAAGCTACCGTACTACATGCTAGTTAGCCTATTATACCATTTGTTTTTATGCTGAATTTAAGTTTAGAATATGTTTACAGCAAAACATCCATCTAGTCAAAGCAAGTAAATTAAAATATTGTTATCTAATTCAGTAAAGTGATGCTATATAAATTCAGACTAACCATTCACACCTTTATGCCATTTTAAAGATTATTTGCATATTTTTGTTTTAATTACTGCAAACATGTTAAAGGAAAATTATCAAGAAAATTTTACAAAGAAATGGATTTTAGTTGATTTCAATAACTCGACATACAAATTGATTAGTTTTAGCTAATTTTGCAATTTTTGTGAAACAATGTTTAATACAACGAAAACAAAAATCAATTGGATTTTACATAGCTATAATTATGAGTCATTTATCTAAATACGGTAAATTAACCGCTATATTTTGCGATTAGCTACTGCATAACCATGGAAATATCCTCTATAGCATTATAATAAATTTTCCTTGACGCCCCATTCTACGACTTTCATTTAAAATTGATAAAACTGGTGACTGTTTACAATAATCATATACATCCAATTATGGGGTGCCGAGGATATCTTCAAATCTTTGGTCCCTGGTTCCATTCGACTGCTGCATGCTCTTTGGTTCATTCTTGAAACATAGTAACTAATTTGACTGATGTCATTCTTACAGTGTTTGGTTTAAATGGCGATTACAGTGCCGTGTCATTTACATACGAAAGAGAATGGATACGAGAACAAAACCATGTGAAACACAATAGTATGGATTCATTTCAGAATGACATCTATTATATTAAAAACAATTTAATACAATATTAAATAATGCAGCAGCATACAAAATGATTAAAAAGAGACTAAAATGATTAAAATAAATCAAAAGCCATAAAAAGATACAAAAACCATTACAACCATATCACTGCCCAAGATATCCACCTCAGATAATCCTATTTACAACATAATACTGTACCATTATCATTCAAATTAAAAATAATCTTCGTTCTCGTGCAAGGTCCTCTCTTGTCTTAGTGCGCTTTCGAGTTGCACTACACGGCAAAAAAAAAATCTCTAGAAAACAACATGGATATAAGACACTCAGGTGACTGTCCAACCATTCGAGGAATTTTAGATACTCCTTAATTATACTTTATTAAAAATATTTTACTATGCTATACTTGAAGCTAACAGTCTACACTACAATTTTTGTTATTGGATATAGAGGAAGTGAAGGAGTGCCAGCCACGACCTTGTAAATTGTTATTCTTTGACCGGAATTTTTCCAACTGACGACGTCTGTCTCAACGAATTCTCCGCCGTCACTCCCGACTCCTTTCTTTTTCGGCCGATCAATTTTAATATCAGTACAGTGACACATGAATCAATTATCAAAAATGTACCAAACAAAGATGGAAATGCCATTAGGTCAAAATAATCTTCACTACCTGCGAAAGAGATGGCAATAATGGTCAAGGCTAGTGCAGCATTCTGGCAACCGGTTTCAAAAGCAATAGTCCGGCATTTCTTTTGCGACTGACGTAACAGGTACGCAATGATGTAGCCTAAGAGGAACGCAATTGGTGACATTACAGAGGCCGCAAACCACACAGTCCATGGTACTTTGAACATACTGGGGTTAGATAAACCTCCGAGGACCATGCTGATTGAGAGAGCAAGAATAGCTGTGAAGCTTCCCACCTAAAGGAAAATTAAATAATTACTGCATGTAAATGTAAAAAAAAAAGAAAAAAAAAGGAACTACAGACATATTTATGTAGGCCATATCCAAACAGTTTAAAACGCTATTTAGCTACAATCTATTTCAGATTGATCGTCTAGATAAGGGTGCGTAAATCCCATTTTGATCATGATTTTATCATGTACTAGGGCTACAGAAACAGAGATGTGGTTGAGTAGGTTAGATAGTGGAGTTCAAGTTATAAGAAAAGGTATTTTCGTTTACAAGTTTTTGAATCCAAGAACCCGGGATTTGAAAGGCGTTCATCGTAACATGTGTATGACAGAGAGCTACTCAAATACGTCCAATACTAACCAGTGTTATGCGTCTCGCCCACTCTTCTTTGTAGTGTCGGATAATCATTCCAATGATAACAGGAACTAGGATGAGAACCATAGAAATGGTGATGTTGGTATAGGGGATGACTACGGATTCATCTGTCCAGCTTCTGCCGTATATCCATAGACACAGAGGCATCATGCCCATAGCTGACAGTGTAGATACCGTCGTCATGCAGATACTGAAATATAATTATCTGTGATTTTCTAATTCGTTGAATGTTTTCAATTTTAGTTGGAATTAGTTTAGCCAATCTGAAGTATATAACCGTGACGTCACGTCGACTGGATCGCAATCATAACCATCATTCAACTTTATTATTATCATCATCGTCGTCGTATTATTAATAAAGTCATTAGTCACTTTCGCATGTTTTTATTTGTTTTATTGATTGGTGCGTAATGGAAAAAAAGGAGATATTTTATATTGAAATATTCAAACACACCTATAGGGTGTTTTGGAAATTCATTTCTACAGTATATATTTATTTATTTATTTATTACGGTATAAAATATATTACAAAGCAATAGCTGAGAGCTAAATATGCTTCTATTACAAAATAGAAATATATATCCAAACAATTTCTTGCCAAAATTCAACATTTCTTGCCAAAATAAAGAAGTAATATGTCTAAGGAGGCTTTCCTACCTTAAGCAAATATCACCTTTACTCCAGAAAGTATATATCTGTGACGTCACACCACCTGGACTGCAACCAATAATCAGCATTCCTAAAGCATGTGCTGCATCAACTTTGAGAATATGTGCCAGAGAAAATGCAACAAGTGGCATGATTCCAAACTGGCATACGAATCCGATAGCTATCCCTGTAGGCCTTTTCAATGTCACTTTGAAGTCGTTCAAAGTAACTACAGATCCTACGGCTAACATAATAAAAACTAACAGAACGGTTAAGATAACTCTGTTTGCTAATTGCAACGTGTCTACTGCAGAATATCCTGTAGATTTAATATTTGGTGTTGACCAAACGATAGAACTTGCATTCTCGCCGAAGGTATACGTTACTGGTGGTGCTGTCATATTGATGAACTGTATTGTTAGAGAATAGCCAACAGTAAGAGTTTAAGAACTGTATACTATAACTTGCAATAATTATTCATCCAGGTCTACACAGGTCTTTGTTTCTACGATGTCATAAAACTTTATCTCCTAACATTTGAAGTTTTGTGGATTTGCAGAAGAACGCAGTGGGTCACTTTATTATATTATGGGTTCGTCTGTCTTAAATTTAATGATTGATTTCGTTTTGTATATTGTTTGTATATGTGTGCTAAAGCTCCATTCGGCCA